AAAAAAAAAAAAAAAAAAAAAAAAAAAAAAAAAAAAAAAAAAAAAAAAGTTAAAAAACAAAATACCGAGAGAACTAAACAACACGGGGAATTGGGAAAGTGTATAGGGCCACCAATCAACCTTCGGAGGACCAGGGAGTGTAGGTGTGTCTGGAACATGCCTTAGCAAGCCCCTGGGATAATCCGACCTTGGTCAGGCCTGTGGCTTTAGTGGCATTGGAAAGTGGAGGGCAAGGGTTAGTCTGTGGCCTGAGGGCCAAACACTTGTTCAACAGGAAAGTTGGGGCAGGGGCTGTGGATCTGGTCTGCTGGTGGGAAAGCAGATGGGAAGTTCCTCAGGAGAATTTCTGGGCCCCAGTGCTCAGACTGTATTTGAGGACTGGGGGTTGGGGGGCAGTTACTGTGAAGTGACTGGCAGCCACATGGAGGGTCAGAGCAGGCCAGCTTCCTTCAGCCAAGTGGCCAAGGAGAGGGCAGCCACTTCGAGGGGGTGGGGCTGCGGAGAGCCATGCCAACAGGAAACATGGCTGGGGCCTGCCTGGCGCTCCCACGCTCCAGCGCCGCGCCCAGCAGGGGAGGTAGGGACCTGGGAGTCCTGGCAGATGGGAAGAAACAGGGGGTCCTTCCTTCCCCGAGATCTACCCTCAGCCTTCTCATCTCACCTGTCCAGGCTCTTTCCTCCAGCTGTGATACCATCAGGGGATTGGTGCAACTCCCTGAACCTCAGTTTCCCCATCTGTTCAGATGCATGGCCATAAGCATCCTCCCATTTCTTCCTACCTTTGTTTGTTTGTTTGTTTGAGCCAGCCACCCCCCCCCGCCCCCAGGCCCGCCCCCCTTCATCTCAGTCTGGCCTTGAACTGGCTACGCAGCTAAGGACAAGCTTGCACTTCTGCTCCTTCTGCCTATGCTTCAGCAGGTGCAAGTGCAGGGACCACAGGATGTGCCAGCACACTCAGTTTACAGAGAGACAGGGTTGAACCCAAGGGCTCGTGCGTGCTAAGCAAGCCTCTACCAAACGCACCACATCCGGCCCTACGCTCTCTTCCCATGGCTGCCTGGCGACATTCATGTCTCCCTTGCCAACTCCAACTCCAGCTAGCAAACTTATTTTGACAGGATGAAGACACCTGATGCTCAGGAGGAGGGCCAGGTGCCAAGACTTAGGGAGGAAGGGAAAGAGAACTCTTTGGATGAGGTGAAGTGGAGAGGATGAGGTGGACAGGGAGGGAAAGATGAGCAGAGACAGACCACACAGGAAGGGTCAGAGAGATGGAGCCTCAAAGACAGGGCTCCAGAGCCACTGAAAAACCCCAGTTGGAGAGATACACACCAGAGGGCTGTAGAAAGGCCATACAAAAGCAGGATGTTGTGGTGCCTGCCCTTAATCCCAGCACTCAGGAGGCAGATGCAAGCGGATCTCTGTGAATTCACCCTCACACACACACCAGGGAAGGGCAGTAGCCCTGTCTGTAGAGTGCTTGCTCAACATACAAAAAGCCTTGGGTTCGAATCCTCATCACTGGACGAATTAGGTGTAATGATGCATGCCTAGGAGCTGGATCTTTTTCTAGACATCACGTGTACACACACATGAGGAACTACTTTCCCTAGGGAAAGGGAAAGAATGTGAGCTTCAAGACCCTCCCTGGGGGAAGAGTGGAGGATGGGGGCAGATCAGAGACAGGGCTGTCCGCTTGGGACTAGAGGATTCATTTCCCTTGTGGCAGAGGCTGAAGGATGAGGAGTTTGAAGACTAACTAGCAAGTGCAGCACCAGCCAGCCGGGCTCCATGGCACCCTGTCACGATACACAAAATCTAATCCTCAGGAGAGAGGGAGGGAAGAGACCCCACCCAGGTGGAGAAGTGGGAAGGTGAGGCATTGTTGAAGGCTGGTGTCTGAGGGGGCAGTGGAGCAGACTGAAAAACTGAACCACGCGAGCCTGGGAAGGATAAAGGGGGAGGGGAAAGCTGGGGACAACAGCACCATTGTTCAGGCAGGGGTGGGGGGGAGGCCCCCAGGGGCAGGAAACTGGCCCTCTTCCCCTGCTCGGAGGCGGGGTGCTGGCCCAGGCCCAGCCAAGGAAGCTGGTAGAGGGCTAGGGAGGAACAGGTGCAGGGTCAAGGAAGGAATCGGGGAACCCCTGCCCTGGAGAGCTGTTTCCCTAGCCATCGTCTATCTTAGGGACTTGAGCAGTTCTCATCACCAGCTCTCAAACTCCTTCTTCCCTGGGCTTCAATCCCTCCAATGCATTTGCCACACAAAGAGAAAGAAAAACACTTCTGGTGGTTTCTATAGGCCCTGAACTTCCGCCCACCCCGTGTGTCTGTGTGCCTTGGGCTTACAACCAGGGGCAGTGGTGGGAGAGGAGAAGAAGGGGTTCAAGGAGCAAGATTGGATGCCCCTCTGGGAGCTAGGGCTGGGGATCTCAGGGACTCATTCCCCAGATGAGAGCAAGGAAGGGCATCTCTCTGCTCTGGCAGACTGAGTGACAATCTCACTTTTTCTGGAACTGGGGTTTGGGGGTAAGCCCTGCTTGCTGGAGAGGGAAGGAGCATCCTCGAGTGGGTGGATGTCTTATTCTGGACATCACATGTACACACAAATGAGGAACTGCTCTTCATAGGGAAAGGGAAAGGATGTGGGTTTCAAACACCCCCTCCCGCCCTGGGAGAGTGGAGGGTAGAGGGTGATAATCTGGGATATGGCTGTCTGATTGGGGACAGGGTGAGGCTGGGCTTTGCTATTTAAGCCCAGGTATGGATACAGACACCCTTTTTTCTCAACTTTGTGAGGGCTGGGACTATAAGCGTGACCACCACACTAGATTCAAGAACAGTGTTTGAGACATCCTGTTAGGAGACTGATTGGGGGGGCAGAACATTGGGAATGGAGAAAGGCGGCCATATTGAAAGAGGGGAATGGAGATGGATGGGCCTGAAGTGCCACTCACTGTCTCTTGTCCTCCCACAGTGGGTGCTGTACCTGCTCTTAGTTAAGTGCTTGATCACCCTGTCCACTGTCTTCCTCCTCTGCCTCATTGTGGCCTTCCATGCCAAGGAGGTGCAGGTAAGTCGGGTCCTACCCCTCAGCTGGGTTCCCCGTGTATTCCACCTCCTTTTCCTGCCCTGAAATGCATGTGTCTATGCCCTTGCCCGCTGGGACGGAGTGAAGCACAGACAGACAGACAGATTCTGCTGGGGTATCTGATCTATGCCCCTGTGCTTCTTGCCCACTTAGGGATGGTGATCCTGTCTGCCCTTCCAGGTCCCAAAACCCCTTGTTTTGTTTTGTTTTGTTTTGTTCTTTTATTATTTTTGGTGCTGGGGGTTGAAGTCAGGACCTTGCACATGTTGGTAAATGAGCCACACCCCAGCCCCTCACTGAGGGTTCTAGGCAGGGGCTCTACCACTGAACCACACCCCCACCCCTCACTGAGGGTTCTAGGCAGGGGCTCTACCACTAAGTTACATTCCAAACTTCTCTACAACTGTTATTAGTGAGAATAATAGTGTATGCTTAAATTTTTAACTTTATTTATAGGGACCCACAAGTGGAAGTTAGAAGATAGTTTATGCAAATCAGTTCTCTCCTTCTACTTTGTAGGTTTTGGGGATCAAACTTGGGTCATAGGGTTTAGAAGTAAAGGACTTGGCTTGCTGAGCCATTACACAGACCCCAAAAGAATGTGTACTTTTACCCAAGTGTCTCCCTGAGTGTTACTGTACATGGCTGAGAGACACTATGGGAGTGGGGCACAAGGATCTGGGGAAATGGGAATGGGATTATATCTCAGAGAGATCAGAGTTTAAGGATGGCTAAGAAGAGTTGCTGAGTCTGGAGGGGGGAAAATCACACAGAAATGGAGACTTTAGGGGCTGGCACTATATGGGATGTTGTGTTAGGTGACTTGGGATTGCAATAGGTGGGGATACAGCAATATAACAGAGATCCAGAGGTGTGGCTCAGTGGCAGAGCCCCTGCCTAGAATCCCCCAGTGAGGTGTGGGGATGTGGCTCAGTGGTAGATCCCCTGCTTAGAGTCCCCCAGTGAGGGCTAGGGGAGAGGTTCCATGATAAAGTACTTGTCAAGCATGCTGAAGAGTTTTATTGCGGGGGAGGGGAATCACAGAGTTGTTCATGCCCTGGGCCCACTGTTCCATTGACCTATTGTGAGACCCAGGCCTCAGTTTCCAGATCTTTAGATTGGAAGTATAGTGCATGAATCTCACTCTGTATTTGTGGGCATTTATTGGGACACATGTACAGGGGTCAGAGCAATCCTGGGGCATCCAGAGTGCGGCATAAATGGAACTAGGCAGCACCCTCTTGAAGTCTCAGCACTTGGGAGTCAGAGGCAGGAGGATCACGAATTTGAACCCATCCTTGACTATAATTACATTTGTGTGTGTGTGTGTGTGCGTGTGTGTGTGTGTGTGTGTGTGTGTGTGTGTATACATAAAGTTACAGCACTTTGTGTAGTCAGTGCTCTCCTTCAACAGTGGGTCCTAGGGATGGAACTCGGAGTCAGGCTTGGTGGCAAGTGCCTTTTCTCATTAAGCTATCCCACGGGCCGTGACTATTATTTCTGCCAGTGGCCTTACTCCAGAGCCATAGTGGAGGAGAGCCCCCAGGAGTGGAAACTAAGCCCTGGGAGGAAGACGGTTCTGTCTCATTCACTACACATTCGTAGTGTCTAGAAGTTGTCATTGCACACAGTAGGCACTTAATTCTTGTAGGAGGAGTATACTTTCTGCAAGTGAGCCACAACTAGCCAGGAGAGTTTGAGAGTGGAGAAAGTGGAGAGACAGCTTGCTGGGTTCCCGACGCCTGCCCTCCCCCCACACCACCACCAGCCCCACGCCCTGTGCAGCTATCTCTATCCTTTCCAGGCCCAGGGCGTCCCCCATATCTTATCTCAGGGCGCAGGCCGGGTGTGCCACCGTTTGCCCTGCACCTGACCCTCTCTTTTCCCCTGTCTGCCCCTTCCTGGCAGCTGTTCATGACCGACAACGGGCTCCGGGATTGGAGGGTGGCGCTAACCCGGCGGCAAGTGGCGCAGATCCTGCTGGAGTTGCTGGTGTGCGGGGTGCACCCGGTGCCCCTGAGGAGCCCGCACTGCGTCCTGGCCGGGGAGGCCACCGACGCGCAGCCCTGGCCGAGCTTCCTGGGCGAAGGGGAGGCGCTGCTGTCCCTGGCCATGCTGCTCCGTCTCTACCTGGTGCCCCGCGCGGTGCTGCTGCGCAGCGGCGTCCTGCTCAACGCCTCCTACCGCAGCATCGGGGCGCTCAACCAAGTTCGCTTCCGCCACTGGTTCGTGGCCAAGCTCTACATGAACACGCACCCGGGTCGCCTGCTGCTGGGCCTCACGCTCGGCCTGTGGCTCACCACAGCTTGGGTGCTGTCTGTGGCTGAGAGGTGAGGGGCCTGGAAAACAGGGAGGGGACATCAGGGCCTGCTGGGTATGGTGGTGCAGGCTGCAAGGCTGTGGGCCAGCCAACATCAGCAGGGCGGGCTCACACTTTCCGTCCGTCCGTCCTTCTTGGCTGGGAAATCCTACGCCCTCAATAGGTCGTTCCCAACCAATCCTCTGGGCCACCTATAACACACACACACACACACACACACACACACACACACACACACACACACAGCCCCTAGGCAACCCCACCCTGTGGTTTTCATGCTGAGTCCAGATTAAGACTCTGTAATAGGGCCAATCCTAAGTAACCACCTTGTTGAAAGGGAACAGCTTTTCCAAATTAGCAGGTACAGTAAGTGCTTGCTGTGACTGGAAAGCAGACATTTGGAACCACTTTGCAGAGGATTTCCCTGCAGTCCCTAGTTGTTGCTTAGCAACTGTAAATAGATGGGGGCTCGATGGGATCTCCACAGAGCCTCACTGTCTCCCTTACAGAGAAATCTAGCCTGTGGTGTGTGTGAGAGCTGACAACAGGGCCCTGCAGCAAACGCGAGTTTCCAACCTAACAACGATAAACCTTTGGAGCTCCAACTCTCCACCCTAGGGCCTCAGCCTCCTGAATGCTTGGTTACAGGTGTGCGCCATCATGTCCTGTTCCGGACAAGCTTTTTCTTTTCTTTTCAAAGAGAGGTCAATCCCAAACTGTGCATGGTGGCACACTCCTGAGGCAGACGCAGGGGGACCTCTGTGAGTTTGAGGCCAGCATGGTCTAAAGAGTGAGCTCTAGGGCAGCCAGAGCTACATGGAGAAACCCTGACTCCAAAAACAAACAAACGACAAAAGAGAGATCAATCATTTTGATCCTGATCTATTACTTGAAGGCCATGTAACCTCTTTGTGGGTGTTAGAGGTGTTCTTTCCTCTGGATAGAGCCTGCCTGGCCACTGCACTTCAGGCTGGGTCTTCAGGCTCAGCCCCTCGCCCCCACACACTGCATCTAGCAGCCCTGGTTGCCTAGCTGAGCTCAAACAGGATCTAGGATCTGTGGCTGTTGGCTTTTCCAACACTTCCACCCTTTAACACAGTTCCTTGTGTTGTGGTGGACCCACAACCATAAAAATATTTTTATTGCTAATTTCATAACTGTAGTTTTGCTACAGTTATATGTTATGTGTCATAATGTAAATATCTGATATATAGGATATCTGATAAGCGATTCCCAAGAAAGGGGTCGTGACCCACAGGCTGAGAGCCACTGTCCCCACACGATTTGGATTCTAGACCTGGATTTCTGCAACCCAGAGTGGTTGAACATCTGAGCCAGGTCACATGGAAGAGAAAAAGACCTGCATTTTTGGCTTTCCATCCGGGTGCCTCTTTGGATTAAGAGTGGGGAGGTAGGAGCTGGGAGCACCACCACCCCCAGGCTGGGGTCTCAGAACTAAGTTCCCTTTGCCCATAGGCAGGCTGTCAATGCCACCGGGCACCTCACAGACACGCTGTGGCTGATACCCATCACATTCCTGACCATTGGCTATGGGGACGTGGTACCTGGCACCATTTGGGGCAAGATCGTCTGCTTGTGCACTGGAGTCATGGTGAGTGCCACTCTTACCCCCTCACCCTGCCTGCTGCTTAACCTCACGGCTTGGGAAACCGTGAACCAACACAGGCTCTCCCTGATGTCCCTGAGGAATGTGGGTGTTATTCAAGATCCAGATACCCAGAACCCCTCCCCCACTTATCCTCCTCCTCCTTTAAGTTAGGGGTTGGGTTTGCTAAGTAGCCCAGGCTAGCCTCAACCTCCCTATATACTCCAGGCTGGCCTCAAGCCTTCAGTCCTCCTGCTTTAGCCTTCAGCATGCTGGATATGACATACTAAAAACCCATTTTCTCTTGAGAGACAGTTGCCCTTTACTCCTTCCTAGAACCCAGGTTCCATTTCCTCAGACCCAGGTCCCAATTTCCCAGCCTTTCCTTCCTGAGCCAAGGGATCCAGTCTCCTCTTCTCCCCTTGGGCATAGAGTCATCGCCTGGAGTATGTTTTGGAGACCAGCCTTCATAGATTCGAACCCCACTTTGCTCCTTGCCAATTGGAAGCTCAAGCAAACTGCTTGATGTTTCTGGGCCTCAGTGTTCCCTTCTATAAAGTGGGTGGGTCCCAGTCCCAGCATCCTCCTGTGGGATTGTTGAGCAGTAAATGAAGAACATCATATCAAAAGCTCAAAACAGGAAGTATTCAGTAAATGCCCTGGGGGGAGATGATGGTGGTGGGGGTGGAGGGGGAGATGACGGTTGAGGGGGTGGGGGGAGATGATGGTTGAGGGGGTGGGGGGGTGACGGTTGAGGGGGTGAGGGTTGAGGGGTGGGGGAGATGACGGTTGCTATGACCAATCCTACACATCTGTTCTGAGCCCCCTCCTGACTCTCCATGAGGAAGCGGGGGTTAGAGGACCGTTGCTTTAACGGATCCCCACCATTTGGCTGCCCCACCAGGCCAAGGCAGAAGCTCCTAGCCCCAGGCTGTTTCCTCCCTACAGTTGCCCTTCTTACCACAGATCCTCCCCCCCCCCCACACACACACCAGTTCCTCTCACCCAGCCCCTGCCTTCAGGGCCCAGCTCCCAGTGCTTTGGTCTAGACCTTCCCACAGGGGACCCAAGCCTCCAGCTCCCAGCTCCGATGCTGCCCCCCCCCCACACACACGCTGAGTCCCTCAACCTTGAGTCTGCAACACCGAAACAGTAGTGAGTGTTTGGGTCAAAGGAAAGGCCAGAAGGATATTCCCAAGGGTCAGGGACCCTCAGGACTGTATCATTTGACCAAAAACAGAAACAACGTGAAATGAGATGACTAGACACCACCATTTTCAAATAATATTTCATTGTTTATTTGGGAGGGCATGTCTGTTGGCATTCATGTCGAGGGGGTGGGGTCTCTCCTTCCACCGTAATGGTTCCAGGATTCAAACTCAGATAATCAGGCCTAGAGGCAAGTGCCTTTTACCCCCTGAGCCATCTTGATGACCCTTTTTTTTTGTTTTTTTTTTTGGGGGGGTGGAGGGGTAGACAAAGGGCTCATGTAGCCCACCCACGCTGGCCTCAAAGGTGCCATGTAACATAGGCTGATCCTCCTGCCTCAGTGCTGTCCCCTCTTCCCCTGGCACTTGATACACAGGTGTGTGTCATAGAGCCTGGCCCTGTAGCAGACTGGTCCCCTGCCAGTTTCTGCTCTGATGCTTTGCAGGTGGCAGCTGGTGGCATTTACACTACCTCCCCTCTTCAAAATAATCGTCTAAGGAAAGAGGCATTCAAGCTGTGGGGCGGTGATGAGCAGAGTATGCCTGTGATTCCAGAACCAGAGAGGCACAGGCTGGAGGATTGATGCAGCTTTGTGGGTAGCCTGGGCTACATAGAGTGACTCTGCACCCCCAAATAAACAGCATGCATAGAGACCTGGGTTAGGTCCCTAGTACTGTATTAACTGGGCACAGTGATAGTGCCTGTAATTCCAGCACTTTGGAGTTAGAGGCAGGAGGATGGGAACTTTGTGGCCAGCCTGAAAGACAGTTCTGATGGTGGTTGTACCTGCTCTCTGTGGCTGTGAGATGACAGAAGGGAGCTGGTGACATACGACTGACCCTCCGAGTCCCACAGCCTCACACGCCTTGCTTGCTGTACTCACAGGGGGTCTGTTGCACTGCCTTGCTAGTGGCTGTGGTGGCCCGGAAGCTGGAGTTTAACAAGGCGGAAAAACACGTGCACAACTTCATGATGGATATACATTATGCCAAAGAGGTGAGGCTGGGTACTGGGCACCCAGACAGGGGCTGTAACTCAGTAGTTAGAACACTTGCCTAGGGTGCATGGGACCCTGGGTTCAATGCCCAGCACCGTATAAATGGCTTGGTGGTACAGGCCTGTAATCCCAGGATTCAGAGGATCGGGAGTTCAAGGTCATCCTCAGCTGCAGAGTGAGTTCAAGGCCAACTGGGCTACAGGAGACCTTGATTTAAAAAAAAAAAAAAGCCAGTTTCCCTTAAAGCTAGGCATAGAGGTTCATGCCAGTAACCCCAGGAGAATTAGGCAGTAAAACTGAGGCCAACATGGGCTACATAGCAAGACCCTAAAGGAAAAAATCCAGTCCCCCTACTCTAAGCCAGGTCTTTCAGATTACAAGGGATCCCTCTCCCTGACACTGTGCCTCCATCAGATGAAGGAGTCAGCAGCACGCCTCCTGCAGGAAGCCTGGATGTACTACAAGCACACTCGCAGGAAGGACTCCCGAGCTGCCAGGAGGCATCAGCGCAAGTTGCTGTCCGCCATCTACACGTGAGGGTCTCTCGGGGTCCCTGTCACCTCTCTGTTGGCTCCTGTGTGCATGTCCAGGCCTGTCCACCTGGATGGGGATTCAGTGTCGGTGGTCCTGGATTCCCGGATTTGCTCCTTTGTGCACTGTTCCCCTCCTCACCCCTACTCTCTGAGGTAATCAGGGACCAGGGTTGTAATTGAATCCTCCTCCCCACAGGTTCCGCCAGGTACGGCTGAAACACCGGAAGCTCCGGGAACAAGTGAATTCCATGGTGGACATCTCCAAGGTACCAGGCCCTTGAGGTGTGCGGGAGGCCTTGGGAGACAGAGGCAAGCGGATCTCTAAGTTCAATAGAGGTCTACAGAGCAAGTTCCAGGTCTACCCTGTCTTAAAAGAGGTAACCCTGTCTTAAAAAAAAAAAGAAAAGAAAAGAAAAGAAAAAGAAAAAAGAAAAGAAAGAAAGAAAAACGAAAGGTTAAAAACATAAATAAATAAAAGGGAATCACTGCAGGGGGCTGGAACGCACAGATGTGTGGCAGAGGTTATGGAATGAAGAAAAAAGCTTCCTACGCACATGTAAGACACCGTTCCCTTTTAGACGTAAGAAAAAAGCACACAAAGAATGCCAATGTTTGGTTTCAAATTATCTTTATTACTTACATGTGGACATATATAAAATTTCCCTCCAGGTGCAATTCTTATTCAAATAAAACCAGGCAGACTTACACAGCTCTCAAACACTGGCAACAAGCCCAACTTGGAAAAGAAATTGACAGACACAATGACAAGCGATGACATTGTTTTAGTGAAAGCCACTTCCCATGCTGTTGTGAAGTGGCTGCCTGAGGGTAGAATGGGTCCCTGCGCAGCTAAGGCTCAGCTCCCATGTCTCCACCAGCGATGGTGACTTTGTACCCCTTGGCCTGGCTCGTGTTGCTCTTTCCTTATGGCCTTTGCCTTTTGTCATTAGCCCAGCACTACTCAAACAGCCACCTTTGGCACCAAAGCCATGGTAAACACAAAGACACAGGTCCCCAAACAACATGACACGTTGGAGGAAGGACAGGGTGGCTTGGGTCAGCCAGAACAGGTGGGAGGGATGCAGTGTGAGCACCCAACTGGAGAGTTTCCGCAGCAAGCTCTGAAGGTTGGGGATGCGTGCCTGCCCGGCATGCGAAACGCCCTGAGTTTAGTCCCCAGCCCTCCAGGGTTTGGGAGGCAGAGGCAGGAGGATCAGAAATTCAGGGTACTTAGATCTGAAGAGATGGCTCAGCAGTTAAGAGCACTGCTGTTCCCAGCGCCCACATGGCAGCTTCCATCTGCCTGTTAACTTCAATAACACAGTAAATTCAATTCCAGCCTGCTCCTCCCCCACAAAAAAAAAACACAAAAGGTCTTACAGACCCCCAAGGATCCCCAGGATCCACTCCAGAATAAGGCTGCCTGGGTCTGGAGGCCAGGCATCACCAATTCCACAAATGATTAATGAATCTGAATGAGCACATACTTCATGTTGGGCCTTCTCGTGACACCTCCATGCTGTTTCCACCAGAACAGGGTTCCCCCTCTGGGGCATGTTTTTTGTTTGTTTGTTTGGTTGGTTGGTTATTTTGAAAGGGGGTCTTCAAATTAACTCACATAGCCAAGGATGACCTTGAACTCCTGGCCTTCCTATCCCTGCTGTCCACTTACTGAGTGCTGGGGTTACTGATGTAGATCACCACGCTGGGGATCAAACCCAGGGTTTTGGGAGTACAAGACAAGAACTCTACCAACTGAGCCACATTCTATGCCTACCCCTAGACTTTAGTTTTCTTTAGATTTGTTTTACTTTACGTGTATGATTGTTGTGCCTGTATGTATGAATGTGTATGCCTTCTGCCTCTGGATGCCTTCAGAGCCTCTGGAACTGGAATTACAGGCAGTTGTGAACCACCCAATGTGGGGTGCTGGGAACTAAACCCAGGTCCTCCAACAAGAGCAACCAATGCCCTTAACTTCTGAGTCATCTCTCCAGCCCCTGCCACTGTGACTTTTAGGAGACTCTTAAGCCTAACAACAGCACCTGCCAAACACCAGGTCTGAGAGGTTCACAGAAGATACTGTTAGAACAGTGCTCAAGGGCCAGAGAGGGCATGTCCGCACCCTGCCATCCCACCCTGCAGAGCAGACAGGACCTCTTGACACCCTCACTCCAGCGTTCCCTTCCACTCAGATGCACATGATCCTGTGCGACCTGCAGCTGGGTCTCAACACCTCGCACCGGGCCCTGGAGAAGAGAATCGACGGGCTGGCAGGCAAGCTGGATGCCCTGACCGAGCTGCTGGGCACTGCCCTGCAGCAACAGCAGCTACCAGAACCCAGGCAGGAGGCCACGTAGCTGGTAAGGGGGCAGGAACTGAGCCAGGAAAAACCCTAAGGAAGAGACAGGCACCTGGTGGCTTGTTGCCCATGTATAAAGTCACCCTTTCTCTTAAGCTGTGTCACCTCTTAGGGCTTTTGAGTTCTGGGCTGGACTGAGGAAGGGAGCCTGAGGGATTTTAGGCAGGTGCTCTACCACTGAATCATGTCCCAGCCTCTCACCTGGCCCTCTCCCTTTCTTTGCTTGGTCTCTGTCCCCATGTCCACTTGTACCCCCCTCTCCTCCCTTACCTGGCTTCCGACAGCCTCCACCTCTGGCGTCCTTGCCCTGCGCTTTCTAACCTACTACCCATCTACCACCCTTTTGTCTTCAGCACCCACGGAAGAAGAATCAGGCTATGCACCCCAGGACTGACCTCAACAACATCCTCCCTATCACTTCGGACCGAGTCCCATGAATAAAGCACTTCAAGATGCTAGGACCAAAGCGGGCCCACGCTGAGATGCGTGGACTCTCTGGTGGTAGCGGCTTGGATCTCCAACCATGATGGGATCATGGCCACCACCTCACACATGCGCTCAGCAGAAGCCTTCTTGCTGTGCTGCTGTTCATGAACTCTCAAGCTCTGTCAGAGGTGAAGGTGCCTAGAGCTAGACTACAGGTTCCTGGGGAGAGAGGCAACTGGTAGCCTGGGGTCCAGGATGCTGGGAAGCTTCAGTTAACGGAGGGCTGGCCTCGCTGAAGGAACCAGGTCCGAGAGGCAGGAGCCGGTGCCCCCTGGTGGACGCCATGGAAGACGCCGCTTTCCCGGAAGGCAGAGACGTCTGCTGGGAGGAGGGCTGTGGCTGCCGCTCACCTGTCCACTGTCACACTTTGTAATAAATGGTAAACAAAGCCAGACGCAGCCGTTTCTTTCCGAACACCAGAGTCCTTTAGACCTTCCTATGGAAGGCACTTGCCCTGTCCAAGCTCAGTTTCCATCTATTGAGGAAGCCTGAGCAGGGTATGATGGCAAATACCTCACCAACTGTTTTGAAAATGGGTCTTCAGCATCTCAGGCCGGCCTCAAACTAACTCATGTAGCCAAGGATGACCTTGAACCCCTGGCCTTCCCATCTCTACCTGTCCAATTACTGAGAAGCTGGTGTTACAGATGCAAATCACCATGCTTGTTATATTTAAGCATCATTCGCTGTCCCTGCTCTGTTTCTGGATCTGTGGTGCCACACCTCTAATCCCAGCACTTGGGAGGCAGAGGCAAGAGGATCTCTGTGAGTTCAAGGCCAGCTTGGTCTAGAGGTACCTACTGACTACCACAACCCACCCACTACCCACAGATAATAAATGGAAAACAAACAAAAATGCTATCCAAGTCTCCTGAAGTGCCCACACCCAGCTTCATAAACTAGGCTGTTGTCATGGACACCCTGTCCAGATCCGAGGCCAGAGCAAGGTGCTTGAATTCTGGCAGATGGACAACAAGATTCTGAGTCTACCTTCTACTTGCTGTTGACCTAGGACAGGCAGCTTCATTCACTTCTCTGAAGACTTTTTAAACCACCTGTGAAGTGCTGTGTCTCCATGGAACTTCTGGGAAGATCTAAGGAAAAAGTGCCATAGAGGGCCGGCCAGCATGTAATATTGCCCAAGTGGCAGGGGCTGTTTTCACCATGGCTAATAATTTTCACACATGGTATGTGGCTGCCCAGTCCTCATTGACTTCCCCCTATTCATTCACGCCTGACCCTGTCCTAGATGCCAAGTCACACGGAGGGATGAGTAGGCACCCACTGTGCCGCACACAGTAGTTTCACAACTGCTCACGTGGAGCTGCCTGGGTCTCAGGAAGAGAGGAGCCGGAGCTGACAAAGCACCTACTCTTTGGACCCTGCTTCTTGCATTTTGTATTGTTTGGGTTTGTGTGTGTGTGTGTGTGTGTGTGTGTGTGTGTGTATTTGTGAGTATGTATGCATGTAAGGGCCACAGGTCAAACTTGAGTGTTGTCCTTGGGCTCTGGTCTACCTTTCTCTTTTTCTGAGGCAGGGTCTCACTATGGAGCGCTGGCTGTTCTGGAACTTGCTCTTGTAGCCCAGGCTGGCCTCCAACTCAGAGATCCATCTGCCTCTGGGCAGATACTGAGTGCTGGGATTAAAGGTGTGAGATGCTAGGTTGGGCCCCTACCTTTCCTTTCTTTTCTGTGCTTTTTCTTTTGGGACAAGATTTGTCATTGGTATGGGACACACTACACCCATTCATGGCTGGGAGTGCCAGGCATCAGCCTGTGTTTGCCTTCCCAGGCACTGCCACGTCTGGCTAATGTCACACGGGTTCTGGGATCCAAGCCTCATCCTTGCTCCACATGCACTGTGCCAACTGAGGCATCTCCCCAGCCCCGCTATTTTATTTGAGACAGGGTCTAATTATGTAGCCCTGGCTACCCTGGTATTTTGTAGTCCAGGCTATCCTTGAACTCAATCCTTGCTCAGCCTCCTAAGTGCTGGAATTACAGTCATGTGCCACCTCTGGCTAGTACCCTGTTTTGTTTTAAAAAACACATTTTGTGTGTTGTATGTGTGTATTTGTGTGGACACCATGGGCACATGTGGCAGGTCAGGGGACAACTTTACTTCTTCAATAGGAGTCCCAAACAGGTCACCAGGCTTGGAGACAAGTGCCTTTGCTCCCTTAGCCTCTCTCCAGCTCTCTGTCTTTAGAAACCCTTAACCCCCACCATCACACATGCCTCAGCTTCCCCATTACACAGAACTAGAAACTGAGCTTGCAGAGCACACAGGCCTGATCTGAGGTCCCAGCCAGGAAGCCACACATCCGGCCGCATAGCCCAGCTTCCCAGCCAGCCCTCGTGTCCCCTGGCTGGTCTGCCCGCCTGCCCTGCCCCATGTGAGTCAGAGCCCAGTGGCCTTGGGCCTGGGACCCAGGCTGCATTCCTGCTACCCAGGCTGAATCATCCTGGCTTGGAAGGGGGAAGCCCAGGCTACGAGTCATTCTGGCTGAGCTATCTTTGGACTTCCCTCCAAGTCCTCTGCTAGTCTCGCCCCTGGGCTAAATTGGAGTATCCACCACCTACTGCCTCCACTGTCCTTCCTCTGCATGCCTGCCCACTTGGTGGCTAAGCAGAGGTTCCAGAAACAGGTTGGAGGGGTTCCAAAGATGTCCATCCCTGCAAGAGGCTCTCAGGTTTAGGGCTATATCCTGTCAACTCGCTCCTATGGGACCACTATTTCCAGATTCCCTTCAGCTGGGAAACTTCTGCCTACTCCTCCTTTGGGCCTTGGCTCAGATACCCCTTCCTCCAGGAAGTCTTCCAGGAAGCCCTTTCTAGTGACCTCTCCTGTCATCATAATACTGATCAAGCCAAGCACCATGTTAAGCTCTTTATAAAACTTCACTAGTGCAGGGAAAGGAAATACGGGGGCGGGGGAGGGTTGAGTTTTCTACATGAGTTAACTGAGTAGTGGACAGACAATACATCCTCACAGGCTGGAGTTGTAGCTTAGCAGTAGAGTGTGTCACGCCCTGAGTTCAAATCTTGACAGTATACAAAAACAAAAAAAACCAAACCTATCCAAAACCATAGCAAAGAGTTAAGGGAAGCCAAATGTTAGGGTGTATACCTTTAATCCCAGAACTTAGATGGCTGAGGAAAGAGGTCATGAGTTCGGGGCCAGCCTGGGCCACCGAGTGAGATTCTGTCTCTTAATAGATAAAGAAATGAGGAGTCATAGGGAAGTGGGATGTGGTCCTGTATCCCACTACTCAGTCAAGAGGTCGCTCAGTCACCATTTCATTATATTTTAGCATCTTTGACTTTCCCTGCTGCTTCTGGAACCCTTTAGCTAGGGATATGGGAACAGAACGATGTTTCCCCACAGCTCCGCAGATGGAGTGCCCCTTCAGCTGGCCTTCCCAGTCTGTGTACTCTGCCATCTCCCAAGGCCACGAGGCCAGAGACTGATCTCTGGGACCTGCAAGTCCTCACAGCTGCTCTGCCGAAGGGGATGGCCATCACGCTAACTAGCTCTCTGTCACATCTTCGGTACCGAAGGTCCCCGCACACCAGCGATCTTAGAAAATGTCCCTAAGGAAAATTGTTTTATATATCTGGGTAGTCAGAAGCACCCTGCCATCAGAGAACTCAGACTTAGAGGTGGGGGCGAGGAATGCAGCTCAGAGGTAAAGTGTTTGCCCAGCATGCAGGAGGTCCCGGGTTCCATTTACAGCAACACACACAGACTCTCAAACACACGCACGCACACTCAGACACATGCACTCATGCACACATGCATGCACGCACACACATACACACACACACACACATACATGCATGCATATCTTTAATGATTTTGACTTAAACAAAGGCATAAACACAAGCGGATTTTGGCTGATACTGGGAGCCCCCACAAGAGACCCCTTGTCCTGGGGTAGCTCAGCTCTGTCCCTATTCTCAGGGGGGCTCAGAGCCTGACTCCCTGCTTCCCATGGCTGTACATTCCCCTTCATCATATCAATGCTTCCTAAAAGCCCCATACCAGGCGGGAGCTGAGCTGCGGACGTTGAGTCAGAGGGTGCTGGCCTCCAACAGTCTGGTGAGATGAGTTGGGTTACTTCCCGCTCCTCTTTCTGTTCTGCCTGCACTCCCACGAGGACATGTGGGGGAGCAGGGCTCGTAGAGGAGTCAGAAGGGCCAGAGGCCAGCCTCCCTCCTTAATGTATACCATACTCCTTGTTGCCCTGAGGACCTTCCTAACATCCAGACTGATTGCACCGTTCCCCGTTCAAAATCCTCAGTGGCTTCCAGGGGCTTTCTGTCAAGGGCTAGCTGCAAGGCCTAGCACAGACACTCAATCTCTGCCTCCGACCCCCATTACTTTGCACTGCTGGGGATTGAACCCAGGACCTTATATGCAGTAGACAGCATTCTGGTGCTCTATCTCCACCCTCACGGTTGGATTCAATTCCAGGAAATGCTCTACCACTTGAGCCATGCTCCCAGCCCCTCACTGGGGATTTTTTTCTTCAGGTGTGCACACGTGTGCACATGTGGGTATGCACATGGCATAGCATGTGTGTGGTAGTTGGAGGGCAACTTGTGTGAGTTGGTTTGCCTCTTCTGTGTCCCTTGTGGGGCACAGGGATCAAACCCAGACCAAATGTCGGCACTGGCAGGGAGCACCAGCACCTGCTAAGCCGTCTCACTGGCACCTTGGTGTGCTTGGACCGATGCACTCTCATGACTAGTCACCACTCAACCCAAGCAAGCAGTCCCCAGCCCTCTGGAAGCTCTCAGGGCCTCTGCAGTCCTCTACCCGCTGGCTGTCTTCCATGCCATCCCTCTTGGTGCAGTTAACCTGGAAGAGATCTTGGGGTTCACCTGCTTAGGGCCCAGGAAGTGAGTGGGATTCACAGCTGCCGTTATGTCCTCCATGGACGTTATGCCCACCCAGGGCAGGGGTGTTCTGGGGTGTCAGAGGCCCCATGAGCCTTCACCTGGAGTTTCTTCAAGGCCTGGCTCTGTTTGCCTTCCCCAGCCCCCCTCCCTGTCCCATTAGGTCCCCTTCTGTGGCTCCCTTACCCCACTATTCTCCTCCTCCCTCACCCCATTGCTTAGAACAACCATCTCCGGCATTTGTAGAATGATTTATCATTCTCTGTAAACATCCTCACTCCGCTGGCTGTGCAGAGACCTGCTTGGAGCCTACCTATGTGCTGGGGAGTCTCTGCCAGCATACCAGAGCCAGGCGGTGACGGGGCAGAGGGAGTGCCAAATGCCAAAACCTTCCTTCCTCTTACCAAACGAGGTGAGCCTTCTGTCCTGTCGGAACCCTCCCTCATTTCCTTGTGGACAGACTCCTGAGCTGCGCATGGCGGTGCTGG